GAAGGCAGACCATCCCTTACCTCGTAATCACGGCAGGCGCTATTCTACACTTACTGGAGATAGTTACCAACAGCTCAGCTGTACAAGTACTCATAGTGTGGACCACCAGGCAGGTGTTCAGCCCTGTCCAAACTACTAGGTACTAGCCTACTAAGGCAAATGTGATTCAATGTGCACAGAGGATGATACTTCGATCATGACCATGCTGAGTGTTACTCAGTTTGTACATTCTCATCCCAACACCCCCTTGAAGTACTGATTAGTATGGGCATGACAGAAATGAGATTTTCTGAGTACTCTTCAGGACAACAGGCCACCCACCGGAAAAATACCTACCCTTGTCGGCCAATACCCACCAGCGCTACGCTGCCGTGAAATTCGGCGACGAGGTAAGGGATAGTACTTGTATTGGCATCCTGATTCTTCATCCTAGCCGTGTTTTGGATTCATCCCTGTATCACGGTCGCAACTAGCAGGATTTTCGTGGAGAACTAGGGTTGCGGGAAAAAAAAGTGGAGTTGATAACGCCTGCTAGGAAAATGTTTGATTGCGCCCGGGCTCGAACCGGGGACCACCAGTGTGTTAGACTGGTGTGATAACCAACTACACCACGCAACCACACCCTCAGCTATTATATTTGGCTCCTATCATTACATCACTTGTTCCCCGATATAACAATTTTTCCAAGAAAGGCCCTAGCTTTATATCCAGGTGTTGGAACGCTGGCTACAGTACTTATGGTCGCGTACCGTAATTATGACACCCGTGGATATGGCCAGGTAAGCGTCCGTAGGTAACCAGGGTGCATTTCAAGCTTGCATTGGATCCGGAGAGAACGAAAAAAATAACAGAACCTAGCAACAGGTGTTCAAGTGAGTAGGGACGCTAAAGACGGGAGAGATCGAACCCGATAAAATTCAATTTATAAAAATGACCAGAACACCAACGGGACACAACTTGAACAGAGTGTACCGAAACAGGGAAAGGGCTTTAATTGAGTAGAAATCCAGTTCCAATTAATTAGTTGTAAGAACGAAACTATTACTTGGTATTGCATTCGAGTCCGTATCCGGTTAAGTAAAACCAGAAGGAATTTAGAATGGGAAGTATTGGGAGAGTAATACAGTATCTCAAATCTCCATTACCTGTGTAGAAGCCCTGCCCCCCGACGCCTCTAAACTCTCAATACGCCATGAGCCAGGTTACTCCAACACTATAAGCGTAGAAACCACTATTGGGTCAGGTGCGCTAACTTTGGTTTCTACACTTCTGTACATATAGAGTACTGTATTTACTAGCTCTAGAATAATGTATTTTGGTAGATTATATAAACTCTATTTACTCACAAGAGGGAGGCGAGGGCCTATTTCCACCACCACTTCATGCTCGCTTATCGCTTTTCTTCTTGGACTTATTCCCCCCAGGTTTATATCCCCTAGCTTTACCCACTTTACCTTTCTTCTCTTCGACAACCGGCTCCTCCTCCACCTCCTCCACTCCCTCGATTTTCTCCTCATCGGCCTCCTCATAAAACTCCTTCAACGCGGGTATGAACGCTCCGAATCTTTTCACATCTCCAAGCCTAACTCTGCAAAGATCAAACGCGATAAGCACCTCCGGCCCGTTCTCCTCCACAGCACTCAAAATTGGCAACCTCGGGTACCGCTGACTGAAATGGGTGAGAATGATGTTCTTTGCACCCATCTCCTTTCCGGCATTAATAGCTTCGCTAGTGGTAGAGTGTTTCTTGGCAATTGCTTCTGGAAGAAGTTCGTCATCGAATGTTGCTTCATGAAGAAGAACTGTCGAGTTCTGGCCGATTTCAACGAAGCCTTTGGTAGGACGAGTATCCCCCGAGTAGGCGATTTTAAACCCATTGCTCCAGGTCCAGGAAGTAGTGAAAGAGCTCAGACAGTGAACTGCCCGAGAGGTTTGAATTGGGGCTAGGGACAGGGAATCAAGTACTTCAGGAAGATGGGCGGTGAGATGATTGGGCTTATTCAAGTTCTTCCGAAGGAGGTCTTCGCAACTAATGAATCGGATTTTAGAGAATCCAAACTCCTCTACATCGGCATATTCTCGTAGCCAGACGAGGAATTTCCAGGATGCCACAACGTTCATTAGCTGATTCGCCTCGGAGTTGGCCAGTGGGTAAACCTCATTGTACCATGCTTTTAAGACTGCTGAAAAGCCAAGGTGCTGGTCAGCATGGAGGTGGGAAATATAGAGTCCTTTTAGATCTCCTAGCGCTGCCTTGAGCCCTGTAGGGTCGTATAGCCTGCGAGGTTGCCCTAAGGTATTTTCGCCTGCGTCCAACAGAATGCTTCCGGCGCCAGGAAGCTTAACGAGAGTCGCAGAAACGTTGCGATATTTGCTTGGGAGCGCTGAGCCAGTGCCCAAAGTAATAACCTCTACATCTTTCCATGGGGAATCATCTCCGGGATTCTTGATCTTGCTTTCGCGAGCTATCCTCGCTAACTCGACGTATGCGGGCTCTGCTTCCTGCAATATAGCTTCCCTGCTGAAAGGAGGCTTGACGGCCTTGGTGTCAAATTCCCACCTTGGTTCAATTCTGAAGATCATTCCAGGTTTCGCGGGTTCCATGAACTCGTCTACCTGGGAGGGTACTCGGACACTGGAATACGGTAGGGCAAAGAATTTCTCATCCAGCAAATTCAACTTTGTCGATGACTTTGCGCCCCCCTTGAAGGTTATTGCGTTAGGGCAAACGTCTGGAGCACTAATAACGTGTTTAGAATGACCCATTTGCTTCATGAAGGACCGGAGCCTCTCATTTGCAGAAACTCCACTTCCGAGAATCCAGAAGAAACACCCAATTTCAGTTCTAACTTTCTCAGTATCTTTCCACTCCTCTTTTTCAAGAAAGTCTTTGATGTAGCCCGTGTCTGGCAAGTCACAAACGGCGACACCGGTTCCAGGTCTCACAGGCTCCATCACATCAGCAGGTTGTACGACGTTTCCATTTGGAGTTGTGATTGCTTCGCCTGCTGTTAATCGACTGAAGTCTGGTCCAGGAATGACACCTAATTCCCTAGCCTTAACAGGAGGGAATTTGCCGCGCTTAGGATGTAGTGTTACGATGTAGGATAGAGAGATACGTGTGGGACGTGACCGCGGAAGTGAGTGAACGGTTGACGCTGGCCAAGGCGCCCTGGTCTTCCCTGGTGGTGGGAGGGTCGTTGAGAGATTCGGGTCTCGTTCTGGAATCAGCTTTGACCGTTTTGATGGGCTAGTGCTCCTGCTTCTGCTCATGTCAGGGCTTGATGATGATGTGGGCAACGATTCGACAGAAGTATCAGTGGAAGGCCCAGGAGCGTCAAGTGGATCTCCTTCTTCAGCCATTGTGTCCATACTCCAGTCAGAACAAAACATTTGCTCTACCACACTTCGGAGAATAGTTTCTCGCTGTTTCTCAAGGTTAGCAAAATCATCGAACGAGCGTTTCCTGGTAGCCCCAACATCAACCTTCCCCACTACTGATGGGCTCCCTGCCTTAATCTCTTCCGTCGAATTCCTGAGGTCTTCCTCCGGGTAAATATGCAAAGCATGAACAATCAGATTTTCATCCCTGAAATATGACGCCCCGATAGCTTGCTTCTTCTTACCCTCAGCGCTCTCAACCACCGGAATCTCACGCGGCCTCAAGTTCATCGCTCTCCTAAAAACAAACGGCCGGGTGGTAGCAAGTGTATGTAGTAGATTCTCCCCACCATGAACCGTAACTCCTTTTCGCTCCAAAGGTTTTCTCTTCTTTGTTCCTCCCTGGGGATTGCCTAGACTATCGGAAACTTCTGCGGCATCCTGATCTGCCATAGTCAATATAAGGACAACAAATCCACCCGTATTCTGCCATTCCGTACGACCAGAAAGAAAAATGTCGGATATCTTCGTAAGCCTTATCGTCTGTTCAACCAACGCCCGCTGGGCTCTTTCTCCGATATGACCGAAAAGGTAGCGTTTGCCGTCAAAGTGGAGTATACATGTTCCGGGAGATCGGAGGTGGGCATGGTTACAACCGTGCATTGGACCTTCATTTGTAACAACGCAGAGCGGGAGAAGAGCCGGTGGAGAAGGGAACGTTGTAGAGGGATTGGAGTCCTCCGGGAGAGAATAGAATGGAGGAGAGCCAATGCTGAAGATGTTCCCACGACCCAAGCGTACCGGTAGTGGACAGGGTCATGCAATAGTTTTT